AGTCTTAAAGCGTTTTTTTGAAAAAATAAGAGGGGCTTTAGCTCCTACTACCCTAGTATGATGCCCGTACAATTATGCGTAAATATGGACAGGCATTGAACATGTGCTTATAAAACTGTTGACTTTTCAGAAAGATATCTGACAACATCATTGGGAAAAATGGGTTCTAAGGGATCCTTATGCCACCCGTTTGTGTAAATTAATAATTTTCCAGATTGATGGGCTCCATCTGTATGAGAAAGACATGGTAAAAGGGACAAAGAATCTCTAAAGAAAAAAACACAGATATTATTCAGTAACGAAAATTGTTTAAGTTTGAGGAAAGATTGGAATACTTTAATAAGTTATTTTCAAAACATACGGCTTAAACTTCCATTAATACTTGTAGGAGTTTCATATTTTCCAGGCTCTTTCTGTAGAATTCCAGGTTTGAGGTGTTCCTGCCAAGTTCCAAACAAGGAGAAGGGGGGGGGGGGGGGGTGCGGCTGGTCATTAGTCAAGGGATAAAAAGCCCCGCTTGTCACTAGACACGACTTTAGAATGAAATTAGCCAAAATCTCTTTTTAGTTCAAAACGCAGGAGTTTTAGCGCTTCAAATACAAAATCAAGATGCCTTTGAGTTCTTGGTTGAAATGCAAAATTAAATAGCCTGTCACAGGACGTTTAAAAAATACTGCAAACTGCAATACTGCAAATTATAATCATATTTTTTATAGGAAATTTTTTTTACTGCAATCAATGCAAACCCCCGCAAACCCCAGGTATTTTTGCCATGCAAGTGTAGCGAGGAAATTGCCGGAATTTTGAAAACGTGTGTAGGCCATGACGGAGAAATAACAAACGCAGACGATAATATACACAATCAATAATAACATTTCAAAACAGCAACAAAACAAACAGAAGCTACAAAACCTGAATAGAAACATAGTCATTATCTCTTGTAAACGGAATCACTACTTTTACTGTTTTCTCTGGACAGTAAAACAAAACTGTTTTATTAGGCTCTTTATCTTTATTTTAGTTAAGTTAAGCGAGCTTCTGCTAGATGCCCAGAGCATCATAAGCCCTGTCCACACTACACAAACTAACCCAGGTTTGCCCCAGGTTTTAGCTAACCCAGGTTAGATTTTGCAGTGTGGACACAACTAACCTGGGTTCGCCCTGGGTTAGTTTAACCCATCTCCAGAGGTGGGTTCGACCTAGGTGTGGACACAAAACTACTATCAGGTATCAGGTGTGGACCTAAATTTCTAGTGTGGACACAAAACCTGGGGCGAACCTGGGTTAGTTTTTTTAACGCATGCGCATATTTGAATATGTTTTCATTTTGCGCGCCGAAAAATAAAAATACGTTACATGCAAACACCAGGCAAGATAAAGAAACTTGCAAAAAAGATCGTGGATCACTATGGAGCCGCGAAGAAGTTCTAAGCTTCATAAGTATCTGGAGAGACGAAAAGATTCAAGAACAGTTGGATAACTGTACAAGGAAAAAACATGTTTACGAAAAGATGGCACAGCGCCTAGAAAAAGAAAGTGGCTACGAGCGAAACTACATCCAGATAAGTGAAAAAAAAACAACTAAAACAGTCTTATAAGAAAGTTAAAGACAACAACAACTTGTCAGGAAGAGGGAGGAAAACATTTGAATAAACTGCAACTTCGGCAACTTCCATCTTGATCGTGTTTATGGAAAATTTGTTTTGTGTCGTTGTTTTGTTGTTGTTGTAATTTAACTACGCATGCGTAGCGTCAGCTAACCTGGGTTCGCCCCGACTTTGTGTCCACATTACAAAACATGAAAATCAAGTGTGGACACAACAGGGCTCGCCCCAGGTTAAATTTAACCTGGGGCGAACCTGGGTTAGTTTGTGTAGTGTGGACAGGGCTATAGGGCAACTGATAAATTATTACTGAATGTTTTATCTTCGACAAGATCAAATTACGAAATTTACAGCAAGGCTGACATTTACAGGAGATGTTTTGTTTTTGGTTCTGGGCATTTCGCTTTGTTTTAAGTTTTGATAAGAGAGTCTTTCCGATGGTTATACGAGAATTACAATACATGAACTCTATATCGAACTGACGAGGAAAATTCACATTTTTTGAACAAAGCAGGAATTTGGGATAGCCGCAAAAGGACATTTTCACAAATCCCGAAAGTCAATACTGTACATTTTCGAAATCAATACTGCACGTTTTTAAATTAATACTGAACAAAGTGTGTAATACTGCACACTAAAATAGGCCCTGGAAAGAGCATTATCATTCAAGAAAGGAACATGCACAAATTACATAACAAAATATAGGCAACATTGGAAAATTCCTTTTCCCCCTAAATTATCATCTAATTTATTGATCATTATGACCGTAAACATTTGTGTGAACCCCCTCCCTCCATCTTTGATTAGGTAATATGTGAACGTTCCCATACCCAACTGCCAACGCATCGATAATCTTATCCAGATACAACCATTCTGAATGAAAAGAACATAGGATTGTATTCAGTTAATGCTTCAAAAGTGAGAACCCTCTCAGCTATTTCGATATCAGGCATTTGAAATAATTCGCATTAGTCATAAGTGAAGAAACTAATTTCCGTTAATCATAGGTCTTGGGCGTTTTTGAAGATATCGGAAAACTGTTCAATAAATTGTACAATTACGAGGAATTGGCAAAAAACTGGTGGAAATTTGATACATGATTGATATAGTTTTTTCTCAATTAAATGGTGAAGCTAACTAAACTGTAAAATCTATGACGCCGAAACCATAACCACGGCGAACTTTTTATGCAAACGTTCTTTCGAGAGGTCAATTGATGATTGTAATCAATTTTAGTTCTGTGCGAATATTGATAATTGCCTTTCAAAAGTTGTTTGAAAAATATAACTCGAAGCAAGTGCGTACCGGGAAATTTCGCCGTGTCCTGGTGGGCCGAGGAGCGATGGGTGGAGAAAATCTGTGGATAATTTTTCGCAGGTAGAAAGGCCAAAATTTGATGTATCCTACAGAGCAGTGAGAGATCGCTTCCAGAATATTTTCACCAACAAAAAGTCCAAAAATAGAAGAGAAGAAAGTGCAAGTGGAATTAATCCTGAGCACACAGAAAAACATGTTCTCCTTGCAAGATAAGGGAGCTTTTTGATGCAGCAATTGCTGATCAGCAAGCAGCATCCCAGCAATTTAAAGAAAAACAAACAGCAGAGATGGAAAAAGCTGAAGAAATGAGAAGGAAATCAGTAGAAACAATTGGAGAAAGCAGGAAGAGAAAGGAAGGGGAGGTAAAAAATGAAAGTGAAGAAAAACGTAACTTTCGGCAGAAAACGTTTCAAAATTATTCAAGAAAGAATCAGAGTTGGCAGTTGATTAAATCCGGGCTGACTCACAATTGCGTTTGGAAACCAAGTTTAGACTAGTTTAGACCCACTTTCCGTTTAGAATACAATTTGAAGAGAGTTTACCGTGGGTGAACTCAACACAGGTTGAGCCCGGATGGCTTGTTGTAGTGTAAACCGGGCTTTCGATTGGAAATAATTTCACTTGCTTTCATTATTAAGCGTCGGGCGAAGAGTTCAAGTGAATTTTGTTCCACTTTTCCGAGCCATTTTGAATATTATTTTTTCCTTGTACTCATATTGTAATTTCTAAATGTATTATCAGTCATTCTATCAGTGCAATTTTGCGTAGACAGAATATACTCAATGCATTCTAAACAACAGGTTACACCATTCAATCTTTTCCTCTCTTGGATACAGTTAAATTTTAGCTGTAAGTCAGCGCTGTGAGTTATTTTTCTCCGATTGCAGTAACTGCCTTAAAAAATCACCATATCTTTGAAACGCGCTGAGATTCGTAAGAGTTGTTAGTTTCTATAGACTAAACACTGAAGCAACGAACGTCGTAGAGAAATCTAAAAATCTTTAAATTATAGGTGATATCATTTATGTATGACCCTGTCATGAATGTCAAATGTCTTGTCTACACTATACTATCGAGCCTTGTTTCCGCCTGGGTAGGGGATAGAGTGAACCCAAGTAATATTTTCTGTAGTGCAAACACAGGGTTACCTAGCCAAGGTTGATCTGGACTGACTCGGCCTGGGCTGACTCGGCTCGGCCTGGGCTGACTCGGCCCGAGTACTGGTTTCTATAAAAAAATTAGTGAATACAACATGCACCTAGCAGCATAACGTTCATTCTACAACGTGTATAAATGCTTGATGACACTTAGCTGCACCCAAGTTCCCTTTGAAAGCTTATTCAGCGCTACTGATAATTTCAAAAGAAGAGAAAACTTTCCATTTGATTACGAGCAAGTCATTGGCCAATTTGCTGATTCATTTGCACTTCTTCGAAAAGAGTTGAAACTCTGAGAATTTAAATAAGTTTTGATCTTGATTCTTAACTCTACATGGGATTTTAAAGCCTGTTTACACGAGAGGAAAGGTATGGATCCAACTTGGTCCGAATTTACGAATTAAAGTCGATATACTGCTGCTGTTTAGCGTATTGCTTTAACCATTTTTTATTGAATCAATCGCATTCTAAGCCACATTTCTAGTGGGTGTGGCTCAATTTTCCCCGCCACGCCCTAAACCGGGCCATTGAGTTTTCTAGCCACCTTGCGATTTTGAAGCCAGACTGCCCCTGGTTTCGAAGCTGCTTATATCTTGGCCATAGTGCTGGATCTCTCTCAGCCCGTCTCTTAATATGGTCTCTCTCGCACATCAAATTCTTGATGCTTGGAGAAATCCATGGTACATGTGCATGCCCCGTCTAAGCGGTCCTTTTTTCAACGGGGCATGCACATGCTCTACACTCCTGTCTATAATCTTTGATGCCACTACCTTGATATCATAGTTCAGCAAAAAAGTGAAGGGGCTAAACCCCTAGCCATGCGGCTCCGGCGTGCCTTCTTTTCGGAATAGTTTGAGGCAAAAAGCCAAACCCCCTTTTCCTTTCGTGCTCTGCTGCCAAGTCTTGGCGAGCGATCTGCAGCTCAGAAAATGAAACCCGGAAGTTGACAATTAATCACATGATGGTCCTCAGAGTTCGCGTATAAACATGCCTTGGAAGTTCACAGGGCATTCCCGGAAAGGCCCAGCACAACATTGACTGGCTTTCTTCAAATATCAAGCGAATCGAACAAGGACAAGGTATGTAAAGTTATTAAATTTTTCCGGGGATGCGAAGACCAAGTGAGGTTTTTGATCGACATGGTTCGAATTCTCGGATTCCAGCAATTTGTATCTTCATATTTGGCAAAAATGTATAACAGAATTGGAACCTTCATGTTGAAATAAGTCTGTGCCAAAAATTCAAATTGTTTGGGCCGTCAGGCTGCGAATTACCCAATTTTCAAAATTTAGCTTTTCCTATACATTCCAATGGAATTTGTTGCTGTGGTGAAATTTTTTCACTGCAGCAGCAAGTTCCGGTTAACTCTAAAGAAATATCTAAATATTCGAAACAAAGTAACATGCGACCGAACAGTCCAAACAACATAAATTTTTCAGTATAAATTTATTTAAAGATGAAGATTTCAATTCTGAAGTCCATTTTCGAAAACGATGCGTAGATAGCGAGATACAAAATTGTTGACATCAACTTGAATCCATCAATAACCAAATTTTGTTCTATGTTTGCCTAGGTTTTGAGCATGAACGCTGTATGCAAAATGCCAACGTTTTTAGCAGTAGAGTTGAGATCCTCGGCTTAAAGTATAATAACCGTACTTAAATGTGGACCGGTAAAAGAAGCCATGTTTTCCAAAACGTTTTATAAAGTTGTATTTTTGCTCCTAGCAACAACGATATGAAGACTACGCATGACTGCTTTTGGCATAGAGCTAGGATGTTTGTTTTTAATTATTATTCCAAAAAAAATTCAAAGAGAATATATATAACCAAAGAACAATTCCTTCATTGCATTTTACCAAAAGTTACTACAGCCCGCCTTTAAGAAAAATAGTTGGGCAGTGTAACAAGCCCCGAGAGCTTTTACTTAACAGAGAAAGTAGGTAAACATGACAGGGGCAGCAAAATTTGTCTTGGACTGGCAAGGGATGAGGTGTGGTTCAAAATAGGGGGCTTAAAGTCGATTTGGGACAAAACATCTCAGTTTTAGGGGAATGATAAAATTGTGGGTCATGTTATTTTTTCACAGAGGGAACTGTCCCGATCGGGAAATTTCTCATCGGGGACAGCTTTACTGGGCTTGTACACGGGGGTGTCTAAAAGAATGGTCTTGAGAGAAAGTGAAACTATTCATAGAAAAACGTCCATCTTCTTACTTATTATTGATTTTTCAATCAAAACTAGTTAATTTTATAAAAAAATGCCCTGCTAAGTGTTTTTCTTTCTAGAACTGCTCAACTTCAACAACAACCAAGTTTCTTTTTGGAGCCTGTTTGTATGAGCAAAAATTACTCAACCTTTCAGGCAAATAAATTAGTGCAGGCCTTAGAAAAACACTTGGCCCAATCATATCCCACAAAATGTCTTGAAGGGAAGGTTTGCAGGTTCGGTATTTCAAAAGCTTGAAAAGTTTGCTTCTGTTTAAAATCAAACGATAAAGAAGGCGAAAATGAAACAACAACAAGCATGTTTCCATTAATGCGCCTGTCATATCGAATTTGAAAGGGACTTTTACTTTGGTAGACACGGTTTGGTTTCATTTTCGCTTATACTTGTTAGTTACTGTGAATCGTGTATTCATACACCACATAGCCATTGAATAGAGAAAGAGAGTAAAAAATAAACCATTTCAAAATAATTTGACA